TGGTGCATTAGGACCCACATTGACCGCAGGGTGAGCACCCCTTGCTGGCCCCACTAACACCTCTTCCAGCAGCAACCTTAGTTTTTCCCAGGAGTCTCCCATCGAGGTACTGACCAGGCTCACACCTGCTGAGCTTCAGGGGGTTGTTAGCTGTGAGTTGCAGAGTGATATGGCTGCTGGTAATATGACAATGCTTGAGACGGGTTTCCACCTCTGTCCACTAGGAGCGAGTTGACTTCCTTTCTCCTGGAAGAAGGTGCCGTGTCCCTCCTGCAGAATCCCAGAGGCTGGCAGATGTTACTCCACAGACCACACAGGGTATACAGGCCCAGCGCCCTCTTAAATCTCTTTACATTGTCGTTGGCATTTTTTGTCCACCATAACAAAAAGATAAAGGATTAATCAAACTTTAACAGTTTATTCAAGTTGAATACGTATACTTTCTTTAGTCAGGAATCATGCGTCTTGGCAACAAGAAACACAGGCATGTAGATGTCCTCACAGCACTGGGGCCCTGGGGTGCTGTCTGTGTGGAGTTCGGATGTTCTCCTCATGTTCATGTGGGTTTCCTCCCTCAGGCCAAAGACATGCTGGTGGGTTAATTGACTTCTGGGAAAACTGGCCCTGGTGTGAGTTTGTACTTGCGTTAGTCTGCCCTGTGACGGACCGGCATTTCGTCCAGGAGGTATCCAGCCTTGCGTCTGTTTTTTATTGGAATATGCTCCCCCAGAATAATGGAAAAACCAGCTCGATACTTGACAACTGTACCCTGCAGTCTGTGACCTTAAACGTATGCTACCACTAAATGAGGAAGAGACTTCATCGGCTTTTAAGAGGCATGACGAGCACGCTGAGTTGAGAGGGCGGTCACCTCCTGCTGTCTCTCTAGAGAGTTGACCACAGATCGTCGGCTGCTTCTTGACCTTCTCCTGAAAAGTGAGCTGCTAACCAGCTCAGTTCTCTCTCTGAATTCAAGGTGTTGTACAAGTAGAGGTACACAGCGTAATCAGATCCCAAGTTCAGTGTAAATGTGAACAGGTGTAATGCTTCAAGTATCACATTGCAAGGGCTTTCAGGGCACCCGCCCAAGAGATAGATCTTAGCTAAACTGTAGTTCAACAGAAACTTGAATGACCTGGACTGGAGAGACTCAAACACCTGGAGTAGTTCAACCCGTCAGAAGTGACGGCTGAAATTTTCCCTTTTCTGTCGCTGCAGTCCAAACGGATTAACAGGACAGTACCCAACGTCTCTGGGTTAAGAAGGATTAATTCTTTTAGTTCTGCATTCATGGTAACTCCACATAATCTGAATCTCACAATAAAGCTCATAATCAAGCAATAGAAAATCTTATTTTCTTACTAAAATAAAGTGCTCTGTGAGGCTTCTCACTACTGGTACTCTTTTTAAGTAAGTTGACATAAGTTGACTATTCTACCAAACATATTTCTATTTGATCGGGCACAAAACCATAGAAATAACTGAGAACACAAGTGACCAGAGGAAAACACATAAACACACGTATACTGTTATGTGCATTGTCTTTCGTGGCATAAAAGGTACACTAACATATAACACTATACTGTAAACAGGCGTCGTCCTTCAGATGAGATGTAAAACCGAGGTCCTGACTCTCTATGGTCATTAAAAATCCCAGGGCATTTCTTGAAAAGAGTAGGGGTGTAACCCCGGCGTCTTGGCCAAATTTCCCATTGGCCCTTACCAATCATGGCCTCCTAATAA